ATATTAGGAATGTTTACTATATTTTTAAGATTTTACTAGAAGGGGGGAAATGAATACTTTTCTCCATTAAGAATCAAAAGCTAACTATTATGGTGAGTATGTAAATAGCAGGTGCATTTCTGTGATCTTCTGTATTGCTATTTACAATGAAATGGGATTGTATATGTCATGTTGTGATGATAGGGACTTTTCTTTTAGGTATACCTGAACCAGTGTGCTTTCTAGCAGTGAAAAATTTGCATCAGCTTTTTGGAATTTAGCATTTTCTCTCACCAAATGTGTGCATGCACATGGCAAAAGATTTTTGTCAAATGACAACATTCTAAAATAGGGCACATGAAATTTTAAGATGATATACCTCTTCAGGCATAGGTTGATTGTGACATAGAATTCTTTTGGAGGCATAGCATCCTGCATCACAAGAACACTCCCCTCTTCCCATACTCCCAAGCTAGGAATACATGTGTGTTTACTGCCTTGTGTTATATCTGGAAGCATATCTTCAGTCAAACAATATAGACAAAGAAAATGAATTGGCAAAGTGTTGCGTTAGGAAACCCCAGCTCATGCTTCTAAATTTTATGTGTTTCTAGACTATTCTCAGATTCATTGTGCATTTCAAAGTGATTTTCAAGTTTTAATTGTTATTAGGAGGGGGAGGAGAAATATGTAATTTAAGACCTTGCAATTGCAGCTGGGGTATTACTGTGCTTGAGAGACTGTAGTCTGCAGGAGGAGGCTGGCATCACCACTGCCAGTTAAGTGTCAGGCTTTAGTCTGCAGTGGAGGAGAGGAAGGGAAAGTTCCCTCCATCCACCCCAAGTTAATTTCAATATACTGGCATATTCACAAAGAATTGATAGGTACTGTCTTTAGCACAAACAAGAAAAGGTATACACTGGTGAAGTAAAATAAGCATCAGAAGATTGTTGTACAAGATAAGTACTTCTTCATTCCTTGTACAGACATTGACACCTATGCATGCTCTGTTGTTATTTGTATCTGTTAGGTGCCTTGATTGAGAATTAGTGCAAGTTCTGTTTGTATCCTTGATAGTCATGCTTGAGACCTGTAAAATACCCTGTTCCCCTTGAACAAGAAATGATGGCACTTTGATTGTTTGCTGGTCTGAGAATTGTTTGGAAAAGTTGAAGGAAAGCCTTAGCTTACAACTATTTTATTTAAAAACTCCCAAGTCAGACCAAGCTGTTTACACAAACACAGAGAAATTTAAAAATGGAGCTGAGCTATAATTTTTAACCCAAGTGTTTTGACAGTAAAGAATGCTTTTACAGTTTTTATATAATTGCTCAGTAATACAGTTCTGCAAGAAGGGTATATTATGACTTTGCAACGTTGATATTAATATGTGTGTTTTGAAGGGGCATATATGAGTCTTATGTTAGTATACCAACAGTCTAACAGTTTCTGAAAATCGGAGGGATGTTATTGCTAATGTAAGGCTTTTAAATCTAACTGGGCACTTAAATTTTTGAAATATTAGAACAGTTGTAGATTCCCAAAAAAGAGAAGAGGAGAGTGTAATGAAACATAACAAGTTCAGTAGCAGTATTAGAATCTAGGGAACATTTTGTAGGTATCATTCTTGGAAAGCAAAGTTTTGCAGTATGGTGAGAAGAAACTTGGAGGCCCTATATTAGTTCAGCCTTGCAGATATTGTTGGACTTCAAGTCTCAGCAGTCCTTGAGCCAACATTGACAATGGAGAGGAATGCTGGGAGTTGCAGTTTAACAGCTTTTAGAGGGCTGTACAGTTCACATCTCTACCATAAATGTAGTTGGAAAGAAGGGATGTTGCTAAGATTATAGTAGTGGGCTTCTGTATTGCTCTTTCTCTGTATGCATGGACTGTAGCCCCAAAGGGCAGATTATAGACCTAAGCACATTTACTCAAAAGTAAGTTCTGCTGAAATGTTTAAGGGAAGTAATGTCTAAGTAAACTAAGAACTAAAATATAAGTGAAATCCAGGTTCTCCATATTGTTGCACAGTCATTTGCACTATCTATGATTTGAATATTTGAAAGCCTGTTGGTTGCTCCTTTTGACTTTTTTATGATCACTCCTGAGTACAAGAAGGAAGTGGAAAATGTCCAGTATTTGATATAGAAGGGAATCATTGCACTAGTGGAGGGGTTTAAATATTTTTTTTAAACTTCAGAAATCTAGTATCTCGTACAAATGATTATTGCTAAGCTATACAATAATCTTTAAAAACTTTACAAAAAATATTTTAAAAAGTTTGGATATGTATTTTGTACCTATTACTATATTTTGACACCCCACATTGTGTTAATCTTATTGAAGACTCAGTGAGCATTGAAGAAGAGCTAGGATCATGAGTGATTGTATTTTGAACAGCTAACACTATTGGCATTTGTTCCCTTATTCTAGGATCTGTACTCCTGGCTCGGTTAAACTGGTCTCAGGTGCAGTTTTTGAAAGGAGACATTTAATTTTCAACCTTCATTGTTTGCTGTTGTGGGGGTCTAGACGTCCCACTCGATAACCACATCTCTGTTGGCTGCTAGGATCTATAAAACACAGAATGCCAGGGGTGTCCTTGGTGTTGCTGCCTCCGTGGAGGCTAAAATTAAAAAATGAAATTGTTTTTATGGCCATAAAGGACCAGCAGAGCCAGCTATCCTGATATTGTACATGAGAAGATTTTCATCTCTGTGTGACTACCAGGAGTAGTCTTTTCACTGATTGTAGAAGAAATTCTTTATCCATGTGACCTATATAGGACCCACTGGTGTCATACAAAGTTGCATGGGAGGAGGGTGAATTATATTGGAGAAATAAACAAGCAGGGGAAGGTGTGCTTAATCCCTTCCTTATTAATTTTCCCTTCAGCGCTGCTTCATCTTGCTATTTTCCAGATCTGTGTTTCCATTACGAACATGGTCACTGGAGTTTGTGGCTGCATTAAGTGTACTTTTAGCTTTGTTTGGATAGAAGAATTATTATCATCACCATACAGTATTGGTCTGTTTTCATCCCACAGTGTTTGGCTGCTTCCAGTCCATCTGACAAAAAAGGGAGTTGGGAAAGTAATGGGATTCAGAAGGTAGTAAACTAGTTACAGCATTCACCTTATGTCATTGGTGTGAGAAATGCATGTGTTCACCTCCCTACATGACACATAAATGGCAATGGGTTGCCCTTCTTTTAAAATATAAATTGTACAACAATGAGTTCTTACAGCTTCCCGAGAGGCATTTCCAGAGTGTCTTTAGGTAACTGCATCTTTAGTCCTATGATAAAATGAAAACTAGATCTGTTCCTAAATAGGTGCTTGTTTACATAGTTATTGACCTGGAAATGATTGGAGACAACCTGTCTATATGAAAAAGGAATTAATGGGTGATGTAGACACAGCCTCCCCTCCCCTCACTTTCTGTTTTGGGTCATTCACAGGTCAGTCTTGTTTGAAAGGGAGCTCTGCACTGTACCCACATCTGTATACCAAATATTCTCAAAAATGAATATCATTGACATGATTGATCATTTGATCCCATTAAAAGAGACCTGTCTCAACTCTTTCAACATCTTTTAATCTCTTTAGTTTCAGATTTTATACATAAATTAGAGGCAGAGGAGAGTTATGGTGATTTCAGTTGAATGGTGTAGCCATACCTAACCTTTCTGAAACATGGAGCTGATGTTGTAAGTCTGTGCATATCTGTACTATTTGCAGTCATTTGGGTATTGTAGCCAAACAAGTTGGGGTAGTTGACCAGAGGGTTTCAGACCTTGACAACAACCATCTTCCTCCACATGGTGCTCCATCACCCCAGATCAAAAACAACCCTCGTTGGAAGGAGAATGGAGAAGGCAACCACATCATCCAGTGGAGGGCTCTAGTAACTATGAGGGTGGCCCCATTGAACCTTATGCAATCTAATGTTTGTTTTATGCTGGACAGATGTGTAGGGGTGTCCCTGTCACTAGGCAGAATAAAGCGCCTCCCTCTGGTAGGTTATGATGGAGAGTGGGGAATAGCAGCAAGGTGTTGGAGGTAGTACCATGTGGCTTGCTCTAACAAAGCTAACCTGCTGCCCACAGGTGCCATGGAAGATTGCTGGGCCAGTGTCACAATAAGGTTCAACCATCAGCCCACATTGCTTCTGTTTTGGCATTAGGAGGTTTGACATCTTGTTCTTTGTCTCAGATGACAAAAAGATATTGATGATGGGGTTTCCTGAAGAGGATAAAGGGCTGGAGGATAAAAGCCTTATCACCCTTGGTTTTAAAAAACAACATAGAGAATAATTTCCCCTCTAGACCTATGTTCCAAGATGGTGTGTGTGTGTTTTGTAAAAAAAAAAAAAAAATCCTTGGGGGAGGATGAAGAGTTATTAGGCAGCAGATGGGAGGGGTGAAAGTGGAGTCAAGGCAGGCAATGCAGTTGGCTGTGCGTGCCTTGATTCAGTGTTCACAGCAGTTCAAATCGGGTTGCTTGCATAGTCAATGACCCCTGCATCAAATGCTTGTCTCATCCCTTAAAAATGACAATAACAGCAACCCAGAAGAATGAGCCATACATCTGCAATAAAAATGTATACATTTTAGTGTGATCTATCTTGGTTACCTATTAATTATAGCCTGTGTTGTGTTAAATCACTTCCCTCTTCTCTCCCTCTGCTCCCCCAATTAGCAAGGGAACATATCTGAACTTGTTTCAAAGAGTTTTAAAAATTATTTTGAAGAATCATAGAATCATAGAGTTGGAAGAGACCACAAGGGCCA